CAGTAGGTCCAGCCCTGCCCTCCCCGCAGAAACTGCCCCAGTTGGCCGCCTTCGGGGGGGTTGTGTGCGGGGTCCGCGGAGCCCCGGCGAGGGAGGAGGTGCCAACTTTCCCATCGACTTCCTGCTCCATTGGGGCCCGCCGGGCGCCTCTTTGTAGGAAAGGCCAAGAGCACTACTGACGGTCCATTTAAATTATTTATCTGTACATACGTTTTCTAACGTGTATATACTCCAGCAGAGCGTCTTGTAACCGAAACCACTGTATTTATGATAGAGCTTTCGTCCACCACCGTCCTTGTCTCCTGTCGTGTTTTGACTGCGGGAGGGGGTCCCTCGAGGGTGCGGTCCCATCCTGCCCTCGGGCCTGTGCGTCCGTAGGTCCTGGGGTTCAGGGTAGTGCCCGGGTCGGTTTGTGCAGACGCCTTTAAGACACTTAAGCACTCGCTTGGGACCGCAGGTGGAGATGTTTGGTTTTTTAAAATATATTTTATTGATTCTTTACAGAGAGGAAGGGAGAGGGATAGAGAGTTAGAAACATCGATCAGCTGCCTCCTGCGCACCCCCACTGGGGATGTGCCCGCAACCAAGGCACATGCCCTGGACCAGAATCGAACCTGGGACCCCTGAGTCCGCAGGCCGAGGCTCTATCCACTGAGCCACACCGAACTATTTAGGGCTGTTTGTTTCTTAATTCGTTTCATGCCACTCGCTCTCCTGGGGCCTTAGGACGGCTTCCTCTGTCTTGAGCTGCCCGCTTATCAGCACTTCCGGCCTCACCCGATGGCCGGTTATAAAAAGACCCCCTTGCCTTTAAAATGGAGGAACCAGCGTTTATTTACCCCACGTAGTCAGCCCTCTGGTTTCTCATCAGGGGTTTTTAGTGTTGAGAAACCTCGGATATCAGGTGTGAAGAGTGAGCACCGATGATGGCGCAGAGTCTGTCCTCAGCCCAGCCCCGCCCGCAGCCCCCAGGCCTGTCTTAGAATGAATACAGGCCGCCCTTGTGGGGTCAGGCACCACCAGGGGTTTCAGCCCCACCTTGGCCCCCAGGGGCGTGGAGACCTAGACCATCACTGTATTCACAGTAACTGTATTTCAGTGGTCTCTACCTGGCTGCCTATCCGAACCACCTGGGAGCATTTAAAACCCCGATGCCCAGGACACGCCCCGGAACCAGCCAAACCTGAGAACCAGCACCCGTTTACGAAAGGAGGAGCCCTAGCCGGTATGGCTCACTGGATAGAGCGTCGGCCTGGGAACTTGAAAGGTCCCAGGTTCCATTCCAGTCAAGGGCACATGCCCGGGTTGTGGACTCGATCCCCAGTGGGGGACTTGCAGGAGGCAGCCGGTCAATGATTCTCTCTCATCATGGATGTTTCTATCTCGCTCTTCCTTTTTGAAATCAATTAGAAAAATATATTAAAAGAAAGACGGAAAATGGCCCTGGCACCTGCGTAGGTTGTGATCTGCGCAAAAAAAAAAAAGTGTGTATCAGGAGGTCGCCAATTTGATTCCCAGTCAGGGTATATTGCCCAGGTTGTGGGCTCCATCACCACGTGCAAGAGATAGCCCCACTGGTGTCTCTCTCTCTCTCCCTCTCTGAAATCAATTTTTTTAAAAAAGGAAACTGTATCCTACATTTAGGAATATTTACATCACAATGACCTTTAAAAGTTTGAAAGTATTTTTGAGCATTTCCAATTGTATGGAAATGTCACTTCACGGAATAATTTTGCTCAAGGAAGTCAAATCAATGAACTCCCATTGTTGAATAATGGGCTCCCGGCAAAGCTGTCTTGAGTTTCAGTTCACTTTTTTACTTTGGTTTCTGCAAACTTCATGAAAAGCAGACTCTCTCTCATTAATTCTCTTGAGCCAATAATAAGATTCTCTCAAAAAGCTCTTTGTTGACTGTTTTCTAGGTACTTTACAAAAGCGGTCATTTTGACAATTGTTCGCCCCCTCTGCAATAAGCTGGAGAGAAAGAGGGACATTCCGTTCCTGTATACTTCATGGTAACCATGGTGATATGGCCAGATCACCAATGCCGCAAAGCTTTCTACTTAGACTAGAAACATAAGAACCCTGTCTTAGTTCTTAAAAAAAAACAAAAAAAAAAAAACGTTATTGCTGAGTATCATAGATGCCCCTCTCCCCCCTCCGCCCCTCCATTGCTCCCCTCGCCCAGTTCCCTCCCCACCCCAGGCCTTCACCACCCTATTATCTGTGTCCATAGGTAATGCATGTATGACCTTTGGTTAATCTCCTCTCACCCCCCTCACCCCTTCCCTGTGAGATTCATCAGTCTGTTCCATGTTTCCATGCCTTTGATTTTATTCATCAGTTTATTGTGTTCATTAGATTTCTTGTTCATTTATTTTTAGATTCAGTTGTTGATAGATATGTATTTATTGCCATTTTACTGTTCTCTTCCTCTTTCTCTTAAAGAATATCCTTCAACATTTCATGTTTTGAACTGTGTATCCAGTAGTTGGCTTGCATTTCTTTCATTTGTGACCTGTTTGTCGCCGCATTTTGGCTGCTTCCCTGTGTTTGTTTCTGTGTATTAAATAGAGCAGCTACGTCTCCTGGAATTGGTCGAGTGGCCTTGTGTAGTAGGTGTCCTGCAGGGCGCAGTGGCTCAGCCTCCCCAGTCACCTGAGCTGGGCCCTCTAGATGTGCCCCTGTGTGGGCTGTGTGCACAGTCTTATAGTTGAGCCTGATTGCTGCTGGTGTTACTGGGAGGAGTTGACATCCAGGCCAGTTGGCTGTGAGGACCAGCTGCGACTACAGTGGGAGAGCTGCTGTGCAGGAGACACCCCTATGGAGCAGGACTTGCTTCGGTGCTCCCTGAGTCTGCCCTTTGAGTGTGTCACCGTGGATGTGTAGAGTTGTAATCTGGTGTGGTCTCAAGCTGTCCACCGGGTGTACTGCCTCTGGGGCCTCATGGGAGGCGCAGTTGCCACTGCCTGGGTGGCGGCAGGAACCACAGAGATTAAACATGCCTTCTATTTGTATTGAGTTTGGAAGTGCCCAGGCGAGGCCCAGCTGTGAAGCAAAACAGGCGGTGCTAGTACCAGGTTTTGGGCCGCTTATTGATAGGTTTGAGGCTGCTGCTGCTTATTGAGAGATTTTAGAAAAGTCTGAAGCCTGAGCCAGGACAGGCCATTCATATGGAAAAGCTGCTGCACACAGCTTGGGTGGGGCTGCAAATTGGATGGGGCAGTGTGAACAGTGTT